GGACTGTCCAGAGCGCGGCTCTGGCGGGGATCGCCTTCCAGACCCACGTGCGGCTCTCTGACTTATTTATTGTGGCCCGGGCTGGCGACATGGTATCGATACCTGACTCCCAGGGCCGGCGCCCCAGAGCTGGCCTCCGGAACAGCACCCCCTCCCCAAGCCGCAGTCACTGACCACTGTCCCCTCCTGGCCCAAGACTGCGCCCAGGGAGCCGCCGCCTGCCTTCTCTGATACCTGGCCGGCAGGACGGTCCTACCAGCAGGCCAGGGAGCCCTTCAGGCCCGCGGCACACAGGGCCCAGGACAGGACCTGCCTGCAGGGCTCATCCAAGGAGCAGGGCCATCTGCCCTCCCCTGGCTCCGCTTCTACCGAGTGGACCCGGCCCTGCTTCAGTGCCCAGGTCCTCACTGGATTTTCTGAGCTTGGACCGGCTTCAAACTGATTGAAGACACCTAGAGCTTGTATGTTCGGCTGAGCCTCCTTTTAAGCCTCTCCAAATTTTTTCAGAAAATACCTGAGTAGAAAAAAGTGAGTCACCTGTCCTACTCAAAATTCCCCTCCTCCTGGAAAAGCAGCTGTGGTCGGCATGGTTCATGGAAATTCAATATTCCAAAACCCTGATCCCCGCCTTCCATTGTAAGTGATCCAGCCCTCGGATAAATTCCCACAGGCACCTGCAGGCTGACTGGGAGGATGTGCTGACTTGGGAGTGTTACCTGTAATTACAAAACACCTGGAAGTAACCAAGGGCACCTGGTTAAATAACCCCAGAATGTTCACTTCATACTTTAACTTAAAACATTTTAATGTAATGCTGTGTACAGTGATACAACATAATCTCCAAAGTTTGCTGAATTAAAAATAAAAAGAGCAACAGATACACAATGATCCACTATGTTAAAAAACAGTCTATGCCGCTGTCCAGGAAGCTACTGAAAGGATGAACATGAGGAAAATTGATGGGCAGGTGTAAACTTCTTATTATATGCCAGAGAGTGATGTTAGACTTATTAAGTAAACATTTTACAGTCACTTTTTCAAACTAGTTAAAGTGCATCTCATTACTTTGACATTTGATGCCCCTTCACTTTGCGTTGATGGCGTAACCCTCTTGGATGTAATCGGATCTCTGTTGGGTTAGGAGGTGTGTCCTTCAGACCTGCGAAGACTTTCCCCCTGGGAAGCTGCAGTGGGACACATACACATTGGAAGGGGGTGTGGAGTACACCTCTCCCTGGCCTCTACCAGGTGCCTGTGCTTCAGCTCATGACTTCTGCTCAGTCATGCACCTGCCCAGAGAGTGTGCACGTGTCTGCATGGGGCATTCCACTTGGCACAGCAAGGACGCAAGGTGGAGGCTTCTGAAATCCTGCTGTGCATGTAAGGAAATGCCTGCTGCTCCTTGGTGTCCCCCAGCGCCCAGCCTGGCTGTCCCCAGTGCACCCACTGCTCATGGACACTTCCTGTTAGGGGAGAAACTCGGGTTCTACACAGAGCAGGCCCACGAGCCAATGGGGCACAGCAGACACCAAATGATGGGTCACTCGAGACCCCTAAGACTGGACATGGTGTCACCCTGACCCCTTCACCTGGTCCCTACCATGAGCCTTGCCCAGGAAAACCACCACCGTGATGACCTTCCAAAAGTCTGTCCTCAGGCTTTAGCAGAGTGCCATTTCTCCTGCCCGAAAGTCCCACTCCAAGCTGACACTGTGAAACTGCCGTGTGACAGGACCTTGGTCTAGAAGAAGGTCTATGCTAGCCCAGCTCTGCCCCTGAACTGTTCCTGGCTGGTCAGCAACCTGGGCTCTCAGGACAGCCATCTGACCCCTGTGGCTGCCATGACCCTGTCCTAGCCTTTCTGAAACCTCTATCTGTAACTGTGTGAAACGTCACGTGTGACTGCAGCGTGACGATATTAGAGAGCACCTGTGATTGCCTGTCCCACAGGTGACCCTGGAAGTTTATTGTTATTCCGTAAGTTCTGACAAATGTGTTTCATCTCTGTTAATGACAGAGCAGGCTGGTGACAGGTCCCCAGATTCTCATGTTTAAAATGGGGGGGCAGGAGGTGAGCTAGGGGATTTCTCAAGGCGCAAGAAAGAGGACAGCACCTGAGTCCTCCCTGTTCAGTTTGGCTCTAGTTCTCAGAAGGTGATTTTCTGGTGTTTCGTTTCACAGACAAGTAAACTGAGTCTGCGAGGAACCCCACACCCACACCCCAAGGCCAGATTGGGGTGGTCTCCCAGTTCCAAGGTGGCCTCTCTGGAGAGGTTTCCTATCAAGCCCTGTCCAAGGGCTTGTGCCACGGTCTGGCTCCTGGAGAGTCCACAGGGAGGACAGGCCATGGCCAGTCGCAGTAAGGACCCCCAGGAGCTGCTGCCGCTGGGGAACTGAGCACCAAGGCTCAGTGCTGGCCTGAGACCTCACACAAGGGAGTGACCCACAAGGGTCAAGTCTCCTTTCTGTGAAATGAGGAGGCTCCCAGCTCAGAAGGGCCCAGAGAGCCCTTGACCTTCCGGTAAGTCCAGGGTTGAGAAAGCCTCAGGTCAATGGCCCCAGGGCAACCCCAGCATGGGGACCCCATCACAAGTGGAGAGACATGGGTTCTCCAATTAATTCGGGTCGGGAAAGCGACCACAGGGTCCTTCAGGAGACAGACTGTTTTAAACATAGACCTGCACAGAGGCAAAGGCTGTAGGTGGGAGCTTTTTTGCAGCAAAGAGTTTGGAGACCCCGAGCTAAGCCCTCGCTCACGGAGTGATTCTGAGAACGTCTGTGCAGTGTGGACCCCCCAGCGGGACAAGACGGCCTTGGCCAGCCACACCCAGCGGCCAGTTGAGAACAGAGGAGTGACCCACGTGGGCCGAGGCCAGGGCCACCGTCTTGTGCACGAAGCCAGACTCCCACCCAGAGCAGACCCAGACAAACAGAAAAGCCCCAGGTTCGAGTCCAGGCTCCACCTCCCAGGGTGAAGCGGGAGAACAGAAAAGCGCCGCGGTGCTGCCAGGCTGTGGGCCTCGACCTCCACAGGCACAGGCCGGGGCAGGTGAGCGCTGAAGCTCCCGCCAGCAGGGCCCAGGGTGACTGGAGAGAGGGGGCCAGTGGGCAGAGGCCAGGCCAAGGGGCAGGGCCCAGAAGCCAGGATGAGGCTGCAGGCTCACAGCACTGCCCCGGGCTGCCCCGGCCCGTCAGGGACAGGTGAGCTCCCTTGGCAGGACCCCGGAGGTCTTCCCCAGGACCGCGGGTCTGAGGCGCCACCTGCCTGACCGGCCCTCCTCCCCTCCTCGTCTCTCGCAGGCCTCACCAGACCCCAGGCCCTGTGCCCCCGAACCCCGCTCCGTGTCTTTTGCCCCAAACCCCGCCCCCGCCGCAGCACCCCGAGCCTTCTCCCCGGGAAGGCTGCTCCGGCAGGGCACTCGGAGGGGCGCTTCCATGTGCTGCATCCTTCTGGACCCAAGACCCACAACCACCCCTGAGGGGCAGCCAGGGAGTCCCAGCTCCCCAGGAGGCAGGAGCCCCGGGGGCTTCCCTGGACAGCCTCCGCCCCAGCTACCCTCCCCTCTTCCCTCCCGCCCCCACCCCACCTGGACGTGCGTGAGCAAGCACAACTGTAGCCAGGTGTGGCCGCACTCACCTGTGATCCCTGCTACGCAGGAGGCTGAGGGAGGAGGATCGCAAGTTCAAGGCCAGCCTGGGCAACGTAGTGAGGCCAGGGATGTAGCTCAGTGATAGCGTGCGCCTAGATCCAATCCCCAGTACCAAAAATAAAATAAAAGTTTAAAAAGAGAAACTTTATTACTATTTTGACACAAATATTCTCCGGTATTCTCTGGGGGTTAAAAATATAGACAAGGTGTTTCTAAAAATTCACTGCTCAGACTGATGTTTTGATGCACGTAGGAGAAGCCCAACCCATTCACAGACCCTGCACCATCCAGCTCCCAGGAAATGGGAGACAGAGGCACTTTGCACCTTGGGGATAGAAGCAAGCTCCCGGGAAAGCCAGGGCCGCGCTGGTCTGCAAGTCCACACGCACGGCCAGGCGGCCACGCAGCGTCAGGCCCTCTCGAGAGAATCTGGGAGGAGTACGTACCTTCACTGCCCCTCGGGACAGGGCACTCACCGGCCAGCCAAGTGGACCGGCCTCAGTCAAGGTTTTCTGTCTGATCAGAGGGGGTCGACGCGCGGGCCTGGCAAGGGTCACCAGGCCTCTGGGAGGTCCACCGCGAGGTCTCTCATCCACAGAGCCACCTCCTAGAGAGCCACCCACCAGTCTGCCGGGCCCTCACCCATACTCCCCTCTGTGTAGCAGCCCACCTCCAGGGAGGGAGCGTCCTGTCCTGGCCCTGCTGTGCCCAGCCCCTAGGCAGAGTGTGGCTCCCGGAGGCCCATTCTTCATGCGCTGCCAGGACAAAACAAACTCCCGCTTCTGCGGAGACCTCGGGAGGCCCCACCCCTGGGGACAGGTGATTCTTAATTTGTTTATGTGCTGTGTGTGAGTTTTTCAGGGCTGCTCTGAGAAGGGACACAGGCCCGGCTTTCACAAGAGGCTGGTGTCCTCTCCATCCCAGAGGCTGGCAGCCTGAGGTCAAGGTGACTGCGGGCGGACCCCTGCGGGGATCTTTCCTGAGCTCATACAGGTGTCTCTCCATGTGTGATCCAGGGTGCTTAACCCCTGAGCCACCTCCCAGCACTTACTTTCTATTTTGAAACAGGGTCCCCCGAAGTTGCTTCGGGCCTCGCCAGGTTGCTGAGGCTGGCTTTGAACTCGTGACCCTCCTGCCGCAGCCTCCCAAGCAGCTGGGACCAGGCGTGTGCTACTGTACCCGCCTAATCTTCTTATAAGGACACCAGTCTGCTGGATCAGGGCCACCCTGATGACCTCACTTTAACTTAATCACCCTGCAAAGGCCCTGCCTCCGTGTCCAGCCACATGCAGAGGTCCCGGGGTCAGGACACACCAGCTTGGCGGAGCCCCACGGCCCCAGAGGCTCACTGTGGTGCACGTCCTGTCTCTGCGGGGACCACGGGGGTTATGTAATGCCAAAGGCTCCTTAAGGTAAATACAGCGCGGGAGCCGGGCTGGCTGTAAGCTCCCGTGGACAAGGGAGACGCCATGGGCCGGGTCAGCCACAGGCTCGCCTGGTTACCACTGTCCCTGCCTCCCCTGCAGCTGGGACTTACAGCTCCTACCACCTCTTGGGAACAGAACCTAAAGGAACCTCAGATCTGGAGGGAGAGAAGCCGAGGGTCAGGCCTGCTCTGCCTCTGTCCATGCCTTCTTCAGAAAGAGCCCCGCCCTGTGAACCTGAGCGACCACATCAGGACAGGCAGTGATGATGGCGTGACAGCAGTTGGCCTTTGCTGCACGTACTGCACGCACAGCACCATGCTAAGTGCTTTTCACATGATCTTCCAGCGCTCAGGGAGGGATGGTTGTTCTTCCTGGTTTTCAACTGAGGATGCACAGAGAAGCTAGGTAACTTGCCTGAGGTCACACAGCTGGAAAATGTCCCTTCAGCCATGAAGTGTCTTTACTCAGTCCCTGGTAAATAATTTGAGTAAAAACAGAAGGGAAGGCCTACCTCCTGCTGTGCCCAGCTAAAGGCTGGCCAGGAAAGACTGGCTCCCAGTCTGAGGGGAAAGGCCTGGGCTGGGGAGTGGTCAGAGGCAGAAGCCCCTGCCTCAGAGAGGTTGGCCTGCACCGTCTCAAAGTTCAGGTGAGGCTGAGTCTGTGGGCAAGAGGGACACCTGGGCAAGTGTGTGCCCGTCCTGTCTGGGTCCCTCTTCCTGGGGACTGCACCCTCTGGCTCCTGCTCAGCCCGCTCCCTCAGCGGCCAGTCTCAACCTCACAGTCTGCCTCCCTGGCAGTGGCTTGGCCTCCAAGGACAGGCACTGGACCCCCTGCTCTCAGGTCGTGAGGCTGAGTGAGACGGGAAGGGAGTCTGAATGGACAGCAGCTGTCCCCACCCAGGGCAGCACACCGTGGGCACTGTGGGCCCGAGAGTGGCCGGTGCTGGAAGGAGGAAGGGAAGAGGAGGAGGAAGGAGAGAGGAAGCCCCCCCAGGTCCAGCACGGGCCCACTGAGTGTGCAGCACAGCTGGACCCCCAGGAGCTGGGATCTGGGCCTGAACTCTGCTTGGTCACCTGGCAGTGGCCTGCTGAGAGCAGCCGCTCTCAGTGCAGTCAACAAACCCTAGTTCCCAGCCTGTGTGACCGGGAGGCTGTGACGTTTCTAAATGCACCAGAGGAGACTAGGTTTGGATTTGCAAGAGTGGCCCTGCTGCAGAGGCCAGTGCCATGCGACCCGCGGCTCCCAGCTGATGCTGCCCATGACCTTGCTGGATCCGCACTGCGAGCGCCTGCTCCCGCCTCCTGCCCAGAGCACAGCTGGGCAGCTGCAGGGCTTGCCCTCTTGAAGCCTGGCCAGTGAGCGCCGAGTGCCTGTGGGGGTCTGCTTCCCTGCAGGCTGGTGTGCCCTTCCCGCTGCTGTGCCCCACATCCTGCCTCCACCTTCCTGGATGCTGGACCTGCCTGGGGGCCTGTCCCCTCTCTGGCTGAAACCCTTGCACCAAAGCCTTCCTATGCCTGCCGTTCCCAGGGCCTGTGGCCCTCCATCCCGAAGCCATGAGGTAGAGACACCCGTGCACATGTCTACACGGCATCAGCTCCACGGTCCTCCTGGGGAGCTCCTTCCCACCGTGGCCATCACCCTGGGAGATTCAGCTCCTTCCACAGGGTGGGCGTGGGGGAATCCTCCCCTTCACCTGGGGCCTGGGCTGCTCCTGTGATGCACCATTTGCTTTAGCCAATGATACCATTCAAAATGGTGAAAAAGAGCCAGGCTTGGTGGTGCACACCTGTGATCTCAGCAACTCAGGAGGCTGAGGCAGGAGGATCCCAAGTTCAAGGCCAGCCTCAGCAACTTGGCTAGATCCTGCCTCAAAATTTAAAAAAAAATTAACAAGGTAGGGACGTAGTTCCATGGTCAATGCCCCTGGGTTCAATGCCCAGCACAGGAAAAATGGAAGGAGGAAGGAAAGGAGAGAAGGAAGGAGGTGAGGAAGGAAGGAGGGGAAGAGAGAAGGAAGGGAGGGAGGGAGGAGGAAGGAAGGAGAGAAGGAAGGAAGGAGGGAAAGGAGGGAGGAAGGAAGGAAGGAAGGAGGAAGG